GTGTCCAATGTGTGCATGCCGTTTCACGCTGTCATGCATTTAAAATGCAGGTCGAGCGCAGCGATAAAGAACTAAGAGAATATATCAAATCCATAACGGTTCGAGTGATGGTCGACGAGAAGCCACAAATTGAAAGTGTGAGGATACAACAAACAGTGGCTCCGCAACAACAACAACAGCAGCAACAACAACATCAGCCTCATCAACAGACTATCCAACAGGTGACACAGCAACAACAACACCATCAAAGTACATCATCGACCACCACAACGACCCGTGTTGTTCTCGATGAAATCCAAGGCCTTAAATTACAGCAGAGCCAGGCGAAATTATTTGAATTGCAACAACAGCAAAAGTTATTGCTGCAACAGCAACAACAACAGCAGCTACTGAAAATGCAACAACAACAGCAGCAGCAAGAGGATCTGTTGTTACGGATGGCCCAACAACAACAAATACCCGCACAGCAACAGAAAAAACAATCTTTAAAGCAGCAGCAGCCGCAACAACAACATCAGCAATTGCATTTGGTTCTCCAAACGAAACCCCAGTCGTCCACCCCGGTCCACCAAGAGGAGGATAAGAAACCTGTACAACAGTCCCTGTTGATACATAATCAACATCGTCCTCAGCAGCAGCCTCCGCAGCAATTGCTAATGCACTCAGCCACCACAAGCTCCAACACCACCTCTTCCGCCTCCTCCTCAACCACCGTTAAACGGAAATCTTCCGTAAAAAAATCCCAACCCGCAGCCAAGAAGTTTGCCCAAATTCAGCAGCAGCAGCAAAACAACATTTCAACACCTGCCCTTCAGCAACAACAGCAACAGCACATCTTACCCCAGACCACTATAAGTTTAAATGAGAACAACGGCACTCTGACTTTACAACAACATAGCGGTAATAACAATAACAACAACACCCTCAGCCACCAGCCACGTTTGACCACCCAGACCTTGCTCAACACAAATCCACCACAATTATTGCCAATATCCTCCTCGTCCAACAACAACCACAACAGTAATGTCCTGCCTCAACAAATTGTCCTGCCAAATGGTCAGATAATAACCACCACCACCCAGTTGTTGGCCACAAATGGTGGTGGTAATTCCGGTGGACCACCCCAATTGACCCAAATAATTAGCGGTAATCCCGCCAATCATCTGCTCCATCACACCACCCCCGCCCCTCCACAGTTACAACAACCCCAATTTGCCCCCGCCCAATTAATACAAACCACCAGTGGTCAGACCCTGCAATTGATACAACAACCCAATGGCCAACAGATTCTGCAATTGGTACAAATTGTACCCCAGCGGACCTTGACGGCGGTGGGAGGTGGTACTACAGGTGGGGGTAATGTGATAACTACCCATACCCTAAGTAATGGTGGTAATGCCACTGCGATCCTGGAAGATGATCATCTAACCATAATGGATGAGGAGGCTCTTATGGAACAAACGGAACAGCATCTAATCGATGATGAGGAGGGGGATCAGCAGGAGGAAGATTTGGATGGTGGTGGTGGTCACATGGGGGATGAGCAGAGCAATAATCATGTTCTACACCATTCAAATGAGCGGGATCAAATTTGTGAAACAATTGTGGTGGAGGATGATCAGCAGCTGCAGATCCATCAGCACCACCAACAACATCACCATCATCAATTATTACAACAAAATGTTGAAATGGAATATTTGGAAGATGTTACAGTGACCACATCCCATCAGCAACAACAACACCATCATCAAGGCCTAATTTTACCCGATGTCGTCGTTCAGGAAGTCATTGATGATGATGGGGAAGATGAACTCGACGAAGAGGATGATATTATTGAAGAAATCCACATGGAAGAGGAAATCTTACAGGATGATGGCACCATGCTATTGGAAACATCAAATGGTTCGGAATTTATTAGCACCACCCATGAACAGGAGATGGAGGAACAGCATCATCATCAGATGTTAGATGATGAGGACGATGAGGCGAATATCTATCATGAGGATAATTCCCTGGCCCATTACACTGTTGTGGAGGGTGGTTGCATTGATGATGTGGATGATGTTGAAGCCATGGAGGAGGCGGAGGTAAATGCTGTTTTCCAGGCCGCGTGTGATGCCAATGAAACGGAGATGCAACAGGCGCAGGCGCAACAGCAGCAACAACAACAGCAACAATTTAATAATAAAATTAGTAACTCCTCCTGCTCCTCCAATCACAATTCCCTAGATGCCTCACCTGTCGCAAACTCCTCCTCGGCCACAAAAACAAAATCCAGGCGTGGTGGCAACAACTCAAATTCCAACACCTCCAACAACAATAATTCCAATCGCTCCTTGGCCAACTCCCGACAATTACAAGCCACCGCCTGTTCCATAGCCCAGGCCGCCGGGCAGGATGATGATTTCGAAATTGATTCCAAACTCATTGCAGAATTTATTAACCAACAAACCACCATTTTGGCTACGGGACGTTACAAGTGCAATTTATGTCAAAAAGAATTTAAACAATTTAAGGGTCTGCAGAACCACATGCATCAACATTCAAATTGGATTCGGGCCAATTGCAAGAAACAACCACAATGTGAAATATGTCACAAGAGTTTCAAGGGCCCGGGGATGTTACGCATGCACATGAAAACTCATCAATCGGCAGGGAAGGTACCCACCTGTCACATTTGCAATAAGGCTTTCAAATCGAAAGCCATACTCTATCGTCATCGGCAGACACATCAACAGCGTTCCTATTGTTGTGCTGTGGACAATTGTCGTAAACATTTTTCCACTGCCATGACTTTGAAATCGCACATCGAACGTAAACATGCCAATTGTGCGGATATACCGCGATACAAATGTGGGGAATGTAATACCGTCTTCTATGATATTGAAACACTGGAAGATCATTTTCAAATTACCGGACATGGTGGAGGAGGTGGAGCGGGTGGTGTTTCCGATAATCAAAATCAAAACTCGAATTTAAATTTGAACCACAACAACAACAATTCATCGTCTTCACCCCCCACAATATCTACAATGACCATGACGGAAGTTGTTAGTAATAATGGTGATGTATATATAGTTACGCAGGCGTAGTTTTAAAACCATAAACCATAACCCAAATTCCCATAATCGCTCATCTCATCTATCCCCCAACCTCTCTCTTCTGTCTCCCTCTCCCCCATACATCCCATAAGCATGATAATTAACACGTAACCCAGCCTCTCCAACATCCCCCTCCATAACTTGTTATGTTTTCTCACACAATGGAACTTTTTCGAAAAAAGTTCCGTATATTTTTTGTTTTTAATTTTTTTTATACTACAAAAAAACACATTGTAATCCCTTAGGAAAATGAAAAGGTATTCATAGCTCATATATACTAGTTCTAGTTGTAAGAGTAAAAATAAGAAAAAAATCAAAACACAAACAGAAAATAATGTAAATATGTTTAATTTTGTTTTTTTTTTCTTTTTTTGGCAATAAATTTAAATATAATATATAATTTTTACTAAAAGAAAAACATGAGTTTTATTTGTACAAAATATTTGTTTTTGTATTAAAAATATAAAATTTTGTATATTTAAATGGAAAAATCTATATTCACTTCAAACTGTTGTGTTTAATTTAAGCAAATTTGTTTCAATATTTTATTTGATTATACCCTTCACCACACTGTGGTACAGGGTATTATGTCTTTGTGCATATGTTTGTAACAGGCAAAAATAATCGAGATAGACCCATGGTTCCTTTTGAGAATATGCATAGAATCACTTTCTAAGTCGATTTATGCATATCCGTCCGTCCGTCTGTCTGTCGATGTTAAATTGTAAACAAAGTACAGGTCGCATTTATGATCCGAATTGGATGAAATTTGGCACAGGTCACTTATTCGGCCCAAGGACGAACCCTATTGAAATTGGGAAAAATCGGTTAGATATAGCTCCCATATATATATTTAACCGATTTAATGTAAACGGTCCCTATATATCTTTCGATTTGCACGATATTTGGTACTGGCTAATCATTTAGGTCTATAATAATGTCTGTTAAGTTTCGTGAAAATCGGTCCAGATTTAGATATAGCTCCCATATATAGGTTCGTCCGATTTCATGTAAATGGTGCCCCAAAGTCCCTATATATCTTTTAATTTGCACGAAATTTGGCATAACGTACTGAATTAAGCCTAGAGTGATTTCTGCCAAGTTTAGAGAAAATCGGTCCAGATTTAGATATAGCTCCCATATATAGTTTCGTCCGATTTCATGTAAATGGTGCCCCAAAGTCCCTATATATCATTCGATTTCCACGAAATTTGGCATAACGTACTGAATTGAGCCTAGAATGATGTCTGCCAAGTTTCATGAAAATCGGTCCTGATTTAGATATATCTCCCATATATAGTTTCGTCTGATTTCATGTAAATGGTGCCCCAAAGTCCCTATATATCTTTCGATTTGCACGAAATTTGGTACAGCCTATTCATTTAGGTCTAGAATGATGTATGTAAAGTTTCGTGGAAATCGGTTCAGATTTAGATATAGCTCCCATATATAGTTTCGTCCGATTTCATGTAAATGGTACCCCAAAGTCCCTATATATCTTTCGATTTGCACGAAATTTGGCATAACGTACTTAATTGAGCCTAGAAGGATGTCTGCCAAGTTTTATGAAAATCAGTCCAGATTTCTATACAGCTCCCACTTATAGTTTCGTCCGATTTCATGTAAATGGTGCCCCAAAGTCCCTATATATCTTTCGATTTGCACGAAATTTGGTACAGCCTAATCACTTAAGTCTAGAATGATGTATGTAAAGTTTTGTGAAAATCGGTCCAGATTTAGATATAGCTCCCATATATAGTTTCGTCCGATTTCATGTAAATTGTACCCCAAAGTCCCTATATATCTTTCGATTTGCACGAAATTTGGCATAACGTACTGAATTGAGCCTAGATTGATGTCTGCGTTGTTTCGTGAAAATCGGTCCACATTTAGATATAGCTCAATTTTATTATAGTTTGATTTTAAGTACTTGACGCACCAAGGAACCAATAGGAACAAAACGTTCTGAAATTAGTATAACGTATCCTGTGACAAGTTTGTTTGAAATCGCTTAATATTTGGCCCGATTTCAAGTAAATTGCGCATCAAACTCCTCATGTTAGTCAGTTTGACATCAAATTTTGCACAACGTACAAAATTGAGCATAGAATTATGTAGTTTCGTTTTCTAGAAGTACATACATAGCCCAACGGATGACCTATTTATATTTGTTTGAAGTCGATTTACATACTTTATGGATAGATCTACGTAGATTCACATTTAGATAAATATCACATATTTTATTTCATTCAAGTTCATGCTAATAGTCCTGTTTAATATACCCATAGTGGTGAAGGGTATCATATAGTCGGTCCCGTCCGACTTTACTACTTTCCTTACTGGTTTTATATTGTATTTACGTAGTTATTTTGTTCGGCGACCCATAGTGAAATTTGATGGAGAACATTTTCTACATTAGGACCTTCCATCTAAAATAAAATATTCAAGAAGATTTCGGCAAAATTCGGAAAAGGGTAAAATTATTATTTTTTCGAAAAAAATTGTTCTTCATACCAAATTGATTTGCTATTTTATTGTCATTTATAACCGATTTGGCGATTTCTTTTAGTCGGTGACCCATACAGCCTTATTCTGGATATTCGCTGGGAGATATCTCGCATATAAAAAATTTTTCGCTTTCACATTCTCGCCTTATTCTGAATGAATAGGGAGACGCAAAAAATGCGAGATGCAGATTCGAGTTTTCGAAAATGGTGGTTGAAAAAAAGATTCGTGTTGCCATATCGTAAATTAAGTTGCGCTGTGTGTGGCCATATTGTAATTTAATTGTGTAATATTTTTCAATATATTATTTATTGATTTTTGTTATTAAAAATTGTTACTTTTTATTGTTATTTAAACTTTATAGCAATACAAATGTGAAATATCAAGAATCCGCTGTATAAATGCTTTGTAATTAAAAGAAAATAAATTAAAGTTTGAAAATATGGCAACCTACAATATGGCATGTGAAACAGCTGTTCATTGTTTTGATTCAATTTGTTGCAACAACTACAATAGATTACAAATAAAAGAACATTTTTTTATGATGGCAAAAACACAACGAATAATAGGAAGAAATCTGCGATTTAATTAATTAATTCACAGTTTATTATTTCACTACATAATTGTGTGCCTTTTTATTTAATTTTGATATTTTATCTCCCAAAATTCTTAAAGTGGTCAGTTATGTTATGATTTGCTCCTACTCCTTTATTTCTTCCTTCAAATCATGCACACGATAATTTTGAAAAAAAAAATATTTTTTGTTCTTTCATAATTTTTATATCAGTTTTTCACTCTTAAGCGGCTCATCAGGCAAATTTGGTTTTTCCATAATTTTTAAAATTTTTTTCTTGTCTGTATTTCGCCTCCAAAATGCATCAAACTCGACTTAAATATTCCTTATTACCTTCATACATTCTTTGGCAATACTTGGTTCAGCATGCATCGTTATCAATAGGATTTCCAATGGCATTTTATTGGCTGTTTTCCAGTTAAAAATTTGCTTACTATCATTTATAATATTCTAAATCGTCATAGAATAAGTATTGTGTAAATATTTTTCATAAAAATAGTTATTACTTATGTTTTTGTAGTCAACTCCCCTTAAATTTATTAGCGAAAAATTTCGCACAAAATTTCATCTCATCTGTAATTCAGAATACCTAATTTTTCGCCAAAGCGGATTTTTTCGCTTTCGAACTTCATTCAGAATAAGGCGAAAGCGAGAATGGGAAAAAATTCACTGGAAAATGTTGTTCAGAATAAGGCGAAGGGAAAGAGCGAGTAAATTCACATGGAATTGACATTTAGAATAAGGCTGATAGTGAAATTTTATGGAAAATATTTTATCCATTAGTACCTACCATCTAAAATCAAGTATTCAAGCAGATTTTGACAAAAATCGGATAATGGTAAAATTATTATTTTTTTTCGAAATAATACTCTTTCATCCCATTTTGTTTTGATATTTTATTGCCATATATAACATATATGTCCATTTCTTTTGATCGGTGACCCATAGTGAAATTTTGTGGAGTACATTTTCTCCATTAGTTCCATTCATGTAAAATTAGAAATTATAGGAGATTTCAGCCAAATTAGAAAAATGTTAAAATTATTAATTTTTCGAAAAAATAGTCTTTCATTCTAATTTGTTTTGGTATTTTATATAACTTGAATGGCGATTTCTTATGGTCCGTGACCTATGTGGAATTTGATGGAGAACATGCTCTCCATTAATACTATCTAAATAAAATAAAATATTCAGAAAGATTTCAATAAAATTCGGAAAATGGTAATTTTTTTTTCGAAAAATAATTTTTCATTCCAATTTGTTTTGGTATTTTATTTTTAATAGTATCTTATATTTCGATTTATTTAATTTGTGCGGTACCCATAGTGTAATTTGATGTAGAATATTTCCTCCCTTTACATCAACTCACTAACTGGAATATTTTGGGGAGATATTGGCCACATTGGGAAAAGGGTGAATTTATTTTTTTTCGAAAAAATAGTCTTTCATTCCAATTTGTTTTGGTATTTTATTGGTATTGACCAAAATAAATCCTATTTTTGGATTTATTTTGGTCAATGACCCATAGTGAAATTTTGTGGAGAATATTTTCTTCACCAACTTCCTAACTGAAATATCTGGGGTGATATTGACGAAATTTGGAAAAGTAAAAAAATATATTCCACACATATTTAATTTTTTATTATATTAATTTGTTTTGGTATTTTATCAGTATATATACTATGCCTTGAGCTTTTTGTTCGGTGACCCATATTGAAATTTTGTGTCGATTTTTTTCTTCCTTGAATTCATCCCCCTAA